ATATAGATTCTGTATTAGAGTGTAGCGATAGTGTTAGGCTTTATAGGTGATATGGGTGTGATGTAGGTGTGTGTTGCGGTATTGGTGAGTGTAGTATTATAGATTTTAGTAGTAGTTTGATAGTTTGAGGTTGTTGTAGTGTAGGTATAGGGGGTATTGGTGGTGAGTTTTGCTTGTGTTGGTGTGGGGGCGGTTAGTAGGGTTGGTGTGTAGAGAGAGGATGTATATATGATAGAGTATTGAGAGATGTTGTGTCTTGGTTGGTGTGTTGGGTGGTTGTTAGGTGAGTATGTTATAGTAGATGGAGTAGTAGTATGGTGTGTGTATTGGTATTGATAGTGTGTTGTTTAGGTTTTGATTGAGATGTATGATCTAGGTGATCTTGTGAGTGTTTAGTTTTAGGTGGTTAGTATGTGTGTTTGTTGTGAGGTTTGGGGGTGGGTTGGGGTTAGAGGGTGTGTATAGTGGTAGGTTTTGTGGTTTGATTGTAGGTTTGTTGTTGTGTGTGGGGTTGGGTGGTGGGTGGGGTGTTGATTGGTGGTGTGGATGTTGATAGTTTTTTGTGTGGTTGTTTGTGGTTATCGTTATGGTAGTTTTGTGGGGGTGTGGTGATAGTGTCGTGTGTGGGTGTTTGGTGTTGTTGGTTGTGGTGGGGGTGGGGTGGTGTGTGGCTTGTTTGGGGGGTAGTGTGTGGTGTGATTGTTTGTGGGTTGGGGTGTGGGTTTGGGGGTGTGGTGTATGTGGTGTGATTTGGGTAGTCTGTGTGTGGTGTGTTAGTATGTAGGTTTGTTTGTGTGGGGGGTTTATGGTTTTGGTTGTGGTGGGTGAGGGGTGGTTAGGTGTAGTGGTTTGAACTATTATTGGTGTGTTTTGTGTGATGTGTCATATGGTGTTGGGGTGTTGGTGTTGGTTTGGGGTTTGTTGTGGTTGTGTGGGTGGTTGGTGGTTGTTGTGTTATTTGTTGTGTTGGTTGTGTAGTATTGGGGGTGTGTGGTATGTTGGTGTTGGTGTTGTTGGGGTGGTTGTTTGTTTGTGTTTGTTGTTAGTAGTGTGTATTGTGTGTGGAGGGTGGTGTTGATTTGTGTGGTATGAGTTGATGGTTGTGGGTGTTGGTCTATATTTTGTGTTGTGGTGGTGTAGGGGTGTTTTTTTTTTGTTGATGTTTTGGGTTGTATAGTATAGGTGTTTTGTTAGTTGGTGTGAGTTGTTGGGGTTTGAGTAGGGTGAGGTGTGGTTTGTGGTAGGGTGATGTTGGTGTTGTGGTGGGTTTTTGGTTAGATTTTTGGTTTATGTTGGATGGTATTGTAGTATGTAGTTAGTGTTGTGTTAGTGTTTGTATAATATATATATATACTATACCAGAGAGCAGAGAGAGAGAATGTATATAGCTTACAAATACACGCATATGTGTATGTATGCAATAACGCACGTAGGCATGTAATTTCCTCCGCCGCACACGCCCACACGCCTGAAAGACATCAGCAACCTCACCCTCCGCTGATCCTGAGCAAACTTCGTCTCATCATCCTCTTCCCTAGCTTCATCCTCACTCTGACCCAGTATCCACTTCACCCTTATCCTCAACCTCAGAATTCACCTCCACCTCCCCTTCAACCTCCACCTCAACCTTATCCTCAACCTCCACTTCATCTTCAACCTCCACCTCATCCTTTACCTCATCCTCTCTCGAAAGCCCCGACTGAGCACCCAAGAGCCATCCTCCACCTCCCCCTCCACTCCCCTCCCCCCCTCCCCTCCCTTCCCCTACCCCTCCCCTCCCCTCCCCCTCCCTCCCCTCCACCTCCCTCTCCACCCCCCCTCCACCTCCACTTCAATCTCCACCTCCACACCCACCCTCCACTCCACCTCACCCCCACCTCGCCCTCCACCGAACCTCCACCTCTCCACTCCCCTCCCACCTCCACCTCACCTCCACCTCACCTCCCACCTCCACCTCCACCTCACCTCCACCTCACCCTCCACCTCCACCTCCACCTCACCTCACCGCCTCCACTCCCCTCCCCCACCTCCCCCTCCCCTCCACCTCCACCTCCCCTCCCCACCACCTCCCTCTAACCCGCCCTCCAGCTCCAGCTCACCCTCCACCTCCCCCTCCCACTCCACCTCCACTCCCCCCCTCCCCTCCACCTCCACCTCCACCTCCACACCTCCACCTCCACCTCCCCTCCACCTCCACGCTCCACCTCCACCTCCACCTCCACCTCCACCTCCCCCTCCACCTCCCTCCACCTCCACCTCCCTCCACCTCACCTCCACCTCCCCTCCACCTCGCCTCCCCTCACCTCCCCTCCACTCCACCTCCACCTCCACCTCACCTCCACCCCACCTCCACCTCCCTCCCCTCCACCTCCTTCTCCACCTCCCCTCCACCTCACCCTCCGCCTGAGCGCCTAAGCCTCTTACCGGTTCCTCTCCTCCAGTGAGGATGACTGGCGATCGGGCCTCGAGAAGCAGCGTCTTTTATTCCTATTATGATGGAAAAAAGTTTATAGTCGGCGCCGCCGAGGATGCGGGGGATGGCGCTCGAGGGGAGAGGAGGGAGAGGGAGAAGGAGGGGTGGGGAGAGGTGGAGGGAGGGGGAGAGGGATGGCGCTCGAGGGGTAGGGAGGGTGGAGGAGGGAGAGGGGGAAGGGGAGGATGGTGGGAGAGAAAAGAGAAAAGAGAGAGAGGAGGAGATAGATAGATAGATAGATAGAGAGAGAGAGAGAGAGAGAGAGAGAGAGAGAGAGAGAGAGAGAGAGAGGAGAGAGAGAGAGAGAGAGAGAGAAAGAGAAAGAGAGAAGAGAGAGAGAGAGAGAGACAGAGAGAGAGAGAGAGAGAGAGAGAGAGAGAGAAGAGAGAGAGAGAGAGAGAGAGAGAGAGAGAGAGAGAGAGAGAGA